GATTCATGAGTCGGGGCTGTTTTACTGCTAGTTTTGTCAACATGGTTCGGAGTTCGGCACAATAGACATCTGCCGTTATTGCTTGACCAGATCGGAGAAAACTATAGTGAATAACACCATGCTGAGACCACCAAACAGTTACCATTACCTTTTTATTGGTAAGTTTTGCTTTAGGACACTGTTGTGGCATTTGACCTGGGGTCAGCCATTGCATTTTTCTTTTCCGGTTATCATAAAGAATCCACTTTTCATCACATGTTACAATTCGATCCAATATTCCTTCATTTCTGTACCGGTTCAACAAGGCAACACAAGTTTCAACACGCGTTTCTTTCTGCAGATCAGTCAAATCATGAGGCACCCATTTTTCGTATTTTTTTATTTTATTGATTTGACGCAAGTGAGTCAATATTGTGGGTAAGGTAACATTAAACCATGCCGCTAATTCGTGGGTAGTTTGACTAGGATCGGCTTCCACTATCTCTCTTAATTCATCGTTATTCACCTGTGTGGGCGGTCTTCCTCGTGGCTCGTTCTTTAAGTCGAAATTTCCATCACGAAAGCGTTTAAACCAAAATCGCACGGTGCGTTCATTAGTAGACCCTCTCCAAACGCAGCATTGATATTGCGGGCTGTTTCTGCCGCGTTAGTTCCGCGTCGGAACTCGTATTCAAAAATCACTCGAATTTTCGCAGTATCCATCTTTCTTGTCTAAATTGAATAACAAAAACAATTGAAAGTCGATATTCAAATGTTTCAAATTTAAAAAAAAAAAAGTCACAGAAACCATTTGAAAAAAGTTTCATTCGAAAACCTCAAACCATGAAGATTCTATGAAAATTCAAAGAACCTATTGCAATAAAACGGCAATTTCATACTTTAACCCCTAATATAATTTGAAAAAAAAAAATACAATGTTTTGTTCGAACTTAATACGAAGTCTATTACACTTTCAGTTATGAACCGTCAGTACCACAAGTTGGGTTCCCTACTTGCTAGTTGAATTTAAATCTGAGGTGTAAAATTGAACATGTTGCTGACTACAAATAAATTTTAGTTTAGTAGTTAAATTGGCAGTGCAGTTCATCCGTCAACGCCGCTACAATACGAAGACTCAAGTTGCTGCTTGATTCGCCCAATTCTTAATTTGTCTTGTTCTTTGATAGATTATGTTTTGGTGTTGATCAAGCCGCAACGATAAACACCACAAGACCTTCAAGCTGTGCTGCTTTTACCTACGTGTATTCTAACTAACTTGCAGAAGATGATTTTATTGTAGAGTATTTGTGTTAACGGAGATACATAATTAATTACAGACATAAATACATATTCATCTCGCCTGTCTTCCACCGAGTTAGAATAGAGTTAGAAACTAAGGACTCGATTCGACCTGTTACGTTCCAGACAAATCTCATTCGTATCTTCCATTCTCATCAGTCTCTTCATGCATGCTCATTTACTCATGATACTTTTAACCTGGCCTTTTTTAAGCGCATTAATTACATAATTATTTTAACACATTACATTACAATTATTTATACAAAGATCGAACGCTCAGAAAAAATTCCGTCGATCCAACCGGATTCGAACCGACATCTTCTAGCATACCATGCCAGACACTATACCAACTAAGCCACGGAACGAACCAGCGGACCTCACGAATTTTTCTATGTGCTTGTGGTCGTGTCTTTATATTTGTTTTTCAACGACTTTTTAGCTGTAGCGCCATCTATGAGAAATCGGTGAAAATATTACGTCACCCAGTTAGATCTAGACAGAGACCTTGACAGCTATTAGCCGTTATTATATTATATTAGCTATTCTATTATATTAAAATTTTTATTCAATTGTTTTTTAAGTGAAAGTACTGCACTATTTTGTTATAATTAATAGTATAAACATCGAACACTCCGAAAAACTCCTTCGATCCGGCAGGATTCGAACCGACGACGTCTTCTAGCATACCGTACCTGTATAAAGATGTCGCTATTCACTGTATTTTCAATTTTTGTTAAATTGATATTCAATTATTTTTTATAAGAAATGCTTTTCTGATTGTTCGATCTTTGTATTTATAATTATAACAAACTAGTGGAATAAATGCACATAAAAAATTGAATATCAATTCAATAAAAATTTAAAATACATTACATTAATTATATAATTGTTAAATTATCTAGACACTCGCTTTAACTATAGTAATAATAATGTGCCTCACAACCACACCGATTACCAGGACTCAAACCAGAGAACTCGCTGTTCTATGAGAACCAAAACAAAAGCACAATTAAATATTTAGGCATCGCAATAGACAGGTATCTGAACTTGGCTCATATCAACTCCTTCGGCTAGAGTACGAAAATTAATATATATTTTCAAAAATTTAAGAGAAGTCGCTAGTGGAAAGCTGCTGAAATATCGTAAAAACGCAGTAATGCTCACATTACTGCTTTGGCGGAAGTAATAGGTAAGGCGGCGGTAATTTGCTGAACGAACTTTTTCAAGGAACACTCTACTGCTACCGGAACTATGAATGCTAATACATCCCAGTACTGGTACTATCTACCACCAGCGAATTTTTATAATTTATCAGTAAAGCTTCGCAAAAGCTCCTCTGCACTACCATAACAGGCTCTGCGCTTTTGTGACATTTCTAATGAGATATTTCTAATTTTAGTTAAAGATCCTCTTCATGCTGGGGAAATTTTTAAGAACTAATTTCTATTGACAACATCCAATGGCACTACGACATAGTTAACGCAACGAAAAGACACAAATTACTAGTCGAGACAAAGCATTTTTAATGTAATATCAAGTGACAGGACGAACAAGTTGTGGCCTATGGTATAAGCTACACGCCTGTCCATAGCAGTTACAGTGCCACTCAGAGTTTTAAAACTTGTTTTTAAATAAAATATAAGTGCGCATTTGACCTCCATCTCACCTAATGGAAAGTGAAGATGAGGTTGACGATGGAGCATGCACTCCTAAATAAAGCCTATTCACTCTCGCCTTGAAAAGACCCAAGTTATAACGTTCAGGGAACAAGTCAGCAGGCAGGGAATTCCACTCCATAGCCGTTCCCCATATAATTGTGGAAGCGTAACGCTTCGTGCGAATCTTTGGAAACCCACAACATAGGGGTGGAACCCAAGCCTATGCCTCTTCCCCCGGTGATGGAAAAGGGAAGGCGGAATTAAATCGAGTAATTCCATCGCACACTCTCCGTGATATGTGCTGTAAAATACCGAAATGCAGGCAACTGTACGGCGGTGTGCAAGGCTCTGCAGCTTCGCTTCCACTAATTCCGAATCGCCTATAAGCCAATTGGCACGGTTGTCAATTGAATCCAAAGTTGCCATTTGATATGTAGCAGTGGCAGCAGTACTCCATACACGACCGGACTTGTGCTTGGTACAGCTGAAGCAACTGTCCCGGTGTAAAGTAACGCCTCACCCTGGAAAGGATCCCAAGCTTCCTTGCCGCATTTTTGGCCATAGATTCAATTTATCCGCCGAAGTTCACCGCGGGTGCGGGATGCGGGGGGTTTCGACGACGGCGTTGGCGGTGGGCTACGACGTGTTAGGGTACTCCGATTAACCCTAGATTACGAACCTTCGTTGAACAGACTACGCGGGTTCGAAAAAATCGTGGTAAATTTTGCGCGTGTGGTCATATTCGTTTCAACTTCCGGCTAATCTCCGTCTACCCATTGCCCGTGCGACTGATGGTAGTGCTTTTTGGGTTGGAAGTCTGTGTGCACCGTACCAGCAACCATGACTCGTCGCATCTACGATGGTTAGTAGTAACGGAACATTTTATACTATTTTGTTTTCACATTTTTTTAAAGATATTACATGCAGTGGTATTTATTAATTGTTATTATAGATACGACACGCCACTTACTAATACAAGATTATAGTGTTGAGGAATAGTCCTCTGGGAGTGAGAAGGAAGACCATGTTGAAACTGATCCAGCTTAAGAAACGGATGGTGAGGAAAGAATTTCTTCTTTGAACTAACAATTACTTCCAGGTCAAGATGTCCCAACAAGTAATATAATTAAAATAACAAATAACACATCTTCATTATCTTCAATGGAAGACTCGATACCAAGCTCTTCAACACAGACCTTGGACCAGACGTGTTCCCTTGCTTCTTGCCATCAAGGACGTAACGTAGTATGTCACAAATGTTTTAGTTCCCAGATTTGTACCAAAATGTTTTGTTGTTTAGTTCATTTGTTTTGTTAATTTTAATAATTTAAGTTTTTTTCAAACATTGTCATTATAAATTTAATATGTAAGCAATTTAAATATTTCCTAAATGTAGATTTTGCATGAAAACTATGATCTCATATAACAGACTGTTTCTAACGAATATGTTGCATAATAATAATAAAAGCATAATAATACATACAGTACATAATTGTTATTAAAAATAAACTCAAAAAATATACATATTTTATTTCACAAAACCTGTGAAATCCGTTTTTTTATAAGCTTAGTCGAAACGACGAAGGTTCGTAATAAGCGTTGAAAAATTAGGTTAGTAATCTAGGGTTAAAGGGACTCTTCCATTTTTGTTGTAATATTGAGTAGATGCACTGAACGTTATTAGTTCTAATAGAGTAAATTACACAACACGAACACCTAGTGACACCGATAGCTTCCGCTTAAAGTAGAGCTAGGTTTACAATTTTTTAATTTATAGGCACGACCGATTACATCGCGAGCAAGTTCACCCAAACACGTGTGCAAAGATTGTGACTGCGACCGAATCTCGTATGTATCGCGTTAATATACGTCATTGGTAAAAGTACGTTGTGTGCGTCGGCTCTTAAGGGTCAGTGCGAGCCAAAAGAGTAAAATTTACAAATAGTATATACTTATTTCTGTAAATTCAGATAGACATTCAACTAGCGGAAATCCTTCATTAATACTTAGGTTAGGCAGGTACGATTAGGTAACTGATTAAAGTGGGTAAATTTTTGCCCACAGATATGTCTCTGGTGCCGCCAGGAGGAGGCGACAACCCTAGCCCTAGACGAGCTTTGAGCCCTCTGCTGGAGCCACGTCGCCCAATTTGCACTCTAACCTGCGACTATTGCAACGCCATTCTAGAAGATCGCTTCAAGCGTAAGTACCATTTTTAAAGGCATCACGTTGCATCTGGCACGATCAATCGTAGTATTTCTTTTGTGCAAATATAAAATATGAAGTCGTATGAAACTCGTTGGGAACCTGCAGTCAAACTGTATATTTTGTAGGACTATGCTAGAATAAGAAAATTGTATACCTTTTTAAATTCCAAAATAACAGAAAGAAGGTTATTCCCATCTGATCCCTTAAACGGATCCACTGCCAATTTTAAATCCCAACTGACCTCTATATTTTGCAAGTCCTAATGGATCCCTCATTATATTTGTAAGGTGAGTACAATGAAGAGAAAACAAACACACATTTATTGAACAATTGCGATCAAATATTATCATCACAGGTAATCAATTTTTTGTGTGACAGATCGTTAATCAATATTATTTTTGATTGAGATATTTCAGATGACTTTACAGAAATCAATCTTATCTAGTTTTTAAGAAAATAACAATGGGTTAAATAAAAATCTTGACCATTAAAGTTTAAGTAACATATTTCTAATAAAGTAAATAAAATACAGAACAACCTCAAATACGTTTTCTTGTCGATTGTACTACAGTACCTACCAAACATAAAGTTGTAAGTTCCAGTGTATCATCAGGGTATGGGAATAAAATATTAACATTTAGAAAAGAAAATAATATAGAATAAAACGGATTCCCCAGGGGATCGGTTTTAGGGGACCAGATGGAAATAATCCAAAAAGACGAACAGTACATATGTTTTACACAGTATTTAGCATATAAATCATATATTTTTCATATATTTTTAGCATATAAATCATGGGATATATCATTACATATCAACATTCTTTATACATACAGAATAATGTATTGTCCGTTCATCTATTACAAAGACCCTCAAGGAAACGGTAGACCGAATTTTCACTTTAATCATACACAGGAACGAGTGATGTCCGAGCGTTTTTGGTAAATAATAAATAAGTAGGTAGGTATTGTCAGGTTCATCGTTATCACTTGAAAATTCACACATGTTTTTATACCGTTAGGTGTTCTGGGAGCAGATTAATAAATATGAAAAGTAGTAAATAAGTTATACATTTAAGGTTTTAATAAACTTCGACTATGTACAAGCTTGCCTATGATTTGGGTAGTAGAACAAAACGTTTAAAACTTATATATTCTTTGAGATAAATGTTTTCAACCAGTTTTAAACATCGTCAACATCATCTTACCATGTAGAATTCAATTTCTCCAAAGATCGCCGGTTTGAAATTTTATTATTACCTTCTTCAAAAGTTTGGACGTTAACTGTAGCGAATCGCAGCAGTCGCAATAATTTTGTAATATTTTATAGTCTCTTTCAGTTTTAGTTTATTATGTAAATTCTAAATTTAAATGTGGTTGTTTTTGGCGCCTTTCCTGGCTTGTTTTCTATTTTGCTTTGATAGCTACGTATTTTATAATAAAAATTAATGAACTGTAAGTATATTTGCTTTGCACAGTCATTGTTAGCACCCACCCTTTAACCCATTGATACAGTCCGCTGCAATAGCTACTGGAGTTTGAAATCCAGTTCTTGGTGGAGGCCCGCTTCTAGCAGTGTACAATTTAAGAGTTGTATTTGAAACAATAATGCTGTTGCGACAATTATGTGACGGCAAATATACATAGGTGTGTTGAAAAAGCACGAATTATATTCAGGATTTAGACCGAAATATAAGCAAATTTTTCAGACATGTTTTGTAATAACTTCTAATATAAAAAGTAGAACTTGGCTGTAGATGTTGCTTTTTCGTTTTTCGCACATGGTAATCATTATTTCCTAAAATATTGATTATTAATAACAAATCAGTGTCCCACACAAAGTAGGAGCAATCGGCCGATTTATAGATTTTTTTTTCCTAATGCAGGGTGGAGGCAGTGATTGTATCAACACTGCACTAGGTTCCTTCACGTTTCGATTCCATTTTCCATTTAATGTTAACGTGAAGTAGAGTCATCGACTTATCACGTAAAAGAAGAAGAAAATTATTTATTTTGTTCATATTTTTATGATACCATTTAAGTTTAACCTAAGATTGCCTCGTATCGATCGTAGTTATTGCCTAATATTCAAGTCACCGTACTTGATCGGATTAGTTAACATTAACACTTCTTCTATATGCTTCTAAATGTTTGAAAATGCAAGCCTTTAATATACGAGCTACTTGCCTCGTACAGTAATATGTCAGAATGTCAGTTATACAGGGTGTCCGATGGCCATGCCACACGGAGGAAAAGTACTTTAAATACGAAGATAGAAAATTTTACTGAAAGAAGACTTATTTTGATTTTAAAAACAATTCGAACAGTATTATACTTTGAAATGATAATGTCAGTTTCATTCATTCATTTTCCTCAACGAAATTTGAAATTAAATGTTAAATTTCATGGTCTTCATTTTTAAATCATCATTTTTTAACATTTTTAAACAATCATTTAGACGAAAGCAATCCTTATGATTGTGTCTTTCGTTATGTAAAGTAAAATTATATGTGTTTTTTTCCAATTTGGCAGTTCAGACAGGCGATTCTTAAAAATTTTTGAAAGGATTTCGGATTGTTTTCAAAATCAAAATGAAGTGCTCTTTCAGCTTAATTTTCTATCTACGGTACTTTCCCTCCTTGTGGCATAGCCGTGGGACACCCTATATATTATGTCCGTTGACCTGTGCGAATAATAATAATATTTTTTTTCCGCCAACGGGTTAATTCCAGTTAGTTCGATAGCAGCTTGAGGCGGCTGGACTTCTATGGCGTGTCGCTTCCAGCACTAATGCATATATTGTTCGCCGGTCCTCGAACCTGAATCCTCTGACCCCGGTGGACTGGGCCATTGTCGGGGAATACCGCTTCTCCCATTTAAAAATTAATATTTTAAGCCAAGGAAGAGGCGAGAGTCTAAAATACATATCCAAAATAATAATAATAACATCGAGTATATAACCAGAAATACAGACGAAATAAGGCCCATCCATCCCTGGCAACTGATCAGGCAAAGGGGCCTTATATCATTTTTAAATATCAACTATCGTTTGCACTGAAATTACAAATAATAACTCTTTATTGCACAAAGAAAAGATACATGAACAACAAGTTATAAAGGACATATACAAAGGTGAGCTTATCTCTAGAAGAGATCTCTTCCAGCCAACCCTAGCCTAGGTGAAAAATGAAGTCTGCGGGACTAATTATTGTACAATAAAATTAAAATTTAAATGTGAGTAAAAAAAAATAATTTAATAATATATATATATATATATATATATATAAATAATATATATACATATAAAGGATGATGATATGATATGATATGAGATAATATATGTACATATGACAGACATACACACGTACATGAACTTTATATACATAAATACAAACATAAGCAGAATATATATTATAATCTAAACAAATTAGTACTTTATAATATATGTTACCTATTAGCTATCTAACGCGTTCGACAGGTAGTGCTCTTTTAATTTATGTTTGAAAGATGCCACCGATGGACTGTCACGAATGCCAGCAGGCAGTGTATTCCACATACGAGTTGCACTTACCGTGAAAGAGTTGTGGAAGAATTTCGAGTTGGATTGAGGATTTATTAGTGATCTAGTGTCACAGGTACGTTTTGGGCGGGAACTTGGGGATAAGGGAGAAACACGGGAACATAGATAATGAGGAAGCTGGGGGTAATGTAGAATTTTGTAAAGGAGACAAAGAACGTGCATATCTCGGCGAAGTCGGATTGGTAGTCCGAAATTCAGAGACACGGTCATATTTCCGTAAACCGAATATGAAACGAATTGCCAGATTTTGTAGGCGCTCCAGTTTGTTAAGCAGCTCCTCAAATTAGAAAGCTGAAATAGAACAGCGCCAACAACTGACCTGTGTGTACGTCTCCGTATATTCCAAGAATATTCTGTATTTCTTAAAATAAAGATAATATCTCTAACTATGGGGGGCTGTTCCATTCGGTGGTAGGGGAAAAACAGCACAACATCTAATTACAAAACAAACGGAACCACATTTCATCGGCAATTTAATATTAACTATGTAATTTTTCAATTTTCATCCATTATAGCAAAACTCAAGTTAAGAAGTGAAACAATTGACGATACACGTCAATTGTTTTGAATTCGGGCTGGCCAATCGGAGCACAGTTATCACCGTAATGATATGGCAGAATAACTGTTCTGCCATATTTGAAATTACATTTCGCCTCTATTTCTGGTTATGTATTCGATCAATAATAATAATAATAATACTTCATTTCGGATAAAAATACTTATCCATAGATTGTTAGTAAAGCAACTTAGAAACAAGGTTAGTGTAATACAATGAAAAATGCTACTACAAGCAATAAATTAAAATTATAAAAGAAAATAAAAAATCTAAACTATAAAATCATAATGAAAATTAGTATTAGTATTTTTGATTTTACCTTACTCCGTTCGATACAAAACCACAGTACTGATTTAAATTATTGTACTCAGTACTACAACGTGTAAAGCGTCGACTAACTTGTTATTTTCAGGATTTTGCATTGCAACCGCAAAATTGCATTTCGAAAGTAGTTTCGATGTAATTCAAATGCAGCTCATGTGACTTTACAAGTAGTTCTGTCATTAGGTTATACTACAACATTTATATTCATTTCTCTGCAACATTTTGATATTGACATAACTATTAAAAGCAGAATAAAAAATATAGATTTGCACATTTTCTAAGATTTTTTTTCTTTTTTTATTACAAAATAAGTGCGCTTTTGGCCTCCATTTCACCTGACCTGGAAACATGCACACCAAAATAATGTCTATTCGCTCTCGCCTTCAAAAAGTTCCAGTTATAGCGTTCTAACAATAAGCCCGCAGGCAGGAAATTCCACTTCTTAGACGCTAGCCGTATAAAAGTAGAAGCATAACGCTTCGTGTGAATCCTGGGAACATCCACACCATTTATCACACAAATAATTTTATATGAATTAATATTTTACATTAATTTAGTGTTGAGTGTACGGATAATCAGTGTAACAACATCTTTACATAGCATTTGCTATTTTTCGTAGAAATCATCAAGTTATACGACCTAACGGTTTACACTGTGGTCGCTAGATGCGGAGGTCCTGGGTTCGATTCCCGGTAGGGTCAATTTAGGTAATGAACTTTTCTAAGTTCGTTCTGGTCTGGTAGTCGGGGAAATGCCCCAGAGTGAATTCCGTTGCTCTGGTACTCATAGTACAAGTCACAATCCAGATTTAATAACGCAAGTTGTTATACGAGTAGTATATTTTCAGATTTGTAACAGTGTGCCATTTTGCGTGCTGGTTTTTTTGCTGTACTGCAACGGCATTAGATTTAAGGTTGACTGTGACACCATGAGTCAGTCAGTCTTATATTTATATTTAAAACAATTACGTAAAGAACACCAACAAAATGTATGTTTTGCTTTCTAGCTATTGCTATTTCAAATTGTATTTTGTGTAGTCAAGCCAAAGCATTTTATCCTTAATGGTGTTAAGCAGGCGGCGATGGCCGGATTCGCGGACCTTCCCCGCTATCATCCTCGCCGCGCCAATCACTGACTGGGGAATCCCCATGGCCGACAGCAGATGATGATCGCCCTGATTTCTCAGCTCTAAAAGAGAATATTCAGCGCATCAACAAGTAAGTTTTTAGTCTTAAATACTAGAAGAGAATGACAGGTTGTACTTACCTATTAAACGTGTCTAGGAAACGAATCAAAATAATTTTATTTCTTACTTAGGTATAAAAATTCTTTCTCAATTTGGAATGTAAGAGTATAAGTTAATACTTGAAAATGTGCTGACAATATTTAACCAAAATTATTTTTGTATTATACTTAAATTCAATTTCAACTGACCGATATCAAGTTCACGTTAAACGTTACACTTAGAATTTGAGTGCGTAAAGAATGAATAATGGAAAAGAAAAAACGCTAATCAATTCGCTTTAGATACATATATAAAATGGCACACTCCAGAATAAATCGTAATGTAATGTATCAAATTCGGTGTGCACAACGAATTCGTGTACAATATTTTTTCTACGCTTTTGTTTCCTGTACTTAAAGCACTGCGTAATAATATTACGAGAAAGCAATGCGTGCGTGCTTAAAACTGCATTTCCAAATATGCTATTTTTAGCCGCTACATAGACCTGGCTATACGATAGATCTTAATCAAATGCATTCAAACCGAGTAACTTGTAAGTAGAAGTTTATCTACTACGATAATATTTCCGATGGATGTATCCCCGATGTCGTCTATAGAAAAACAGCCTTATACAAACCAAACCTTATGTAAACGCACTTTACAAACCAAATGTTAGATATTTCTATTTGACATATTATACTTTTTAAACGACTTCATAAAAAAGGAGGAAGTTCTGAATTCGACTGTATTTTTGTGTGTGTGTGTGTTACGCCGCCATTTGTGAACTGATTTTCGTTGGAAAGAGAGAAGGACAGCACCTCAGGTCCCATTTGAATTTGAAGAAAATATTCCACTTCTGAGGATGACAATCTGCCCCTAATTTGAACCCGGTTTCGCGCATTTTCTTGTAACCAATATTTTAGTCCGTTTTAGGGATTTTATATGATCGAGTAAAGTACTTTTTTCTTTTTTTTATATAATATCAGGTGACGGAACAAACAAATCGTGCGCTGATGGTAAGCTACACGCATATCCATAACAATTGCAGTGTCACTCAGAGCTTTAAATCGCAAAGATCTGAGGGGCACTACCACTGTGCCCGTAACCCTGAGACATAAGTTAACAAGTCCCATATACCTGTAATTTCACCAGCACCCTTACCTTAAACCGGAACACTGTAATGCTGACATTACTGCTCGGCGGCAGAAATAGGTAAGGTGGCAGTACTTTCCTGGACGAACTCATTCACAAGGAGCTTTACTGTTACTAAAATAGTAGAACTATCGTGTAACGAATTAGCACATTCTTTAGTTAGAATAATAACGCATAGAAATCTAGACCGCACATGCTAAGTGAGGCAAATTGAAGCGCTCCCCTTTGGGAGCGCTTCATTCGTGTAGGCCCTTGTAGGTAGGCCTTGTGGGTAGGTCGTGTAGGCTCGTGTAGGCCCTTTGGCATACACGAGCGGGCGGGCTGTCAGTGCTCAAGGTCAACTTGCACCGCGAACAGCTCCAGAATTTTAGCTAAAAATGACAAATGTGCGGTAAATGAGTGTAAAAATACGTCAGACGAACATAAAATAGACACTAACATCACATTCCACAAGGAAGTAACGCGTTTCAACTTGTACTTTTATATAAATATACACTAAAACCGAAAATTAACCTACTACTAAAACTAGCCTACATGAATTTGATTTTTGCCTCACTTGTGACAGTTCGTTTGATATGAAACTATCATTCTATGCGTTATTATTCTAAGATTCTTTAGATAATATCCTTAAACGAATCGTATATTTTTTATAAGACAATATTTAATAATAAATACCTAAACCATTTGATCAACTCAAAACAAGCAACACAGTTTATCCCGCTTCTCCTCCGTTAACACGCCTTAACGGCGATACCATTTGGCTGCGACATATTAAATGCAATCAATGGGTTTGAATTCATGTGATTAAGATTTTCCGTAGTGTCATGCGATCTAGATATATATATATATATATATAGTGTTCAAAATTTACAAATGTATTATCAAAATTCCATTTTTTTTTTGTTTTCCCAATTGGCATGTACTTCGATGTCGGGTTGTAGGATTATCAATTTTACAACACTTAATATACTTTATTGATAAATTTTGTACATTTGCTAATAATATATAGGTGTCGGGAAATAACAAAGACATGGTCAACACTTGTAATACGTTTATTCGGTAAACTTTTCCATGGCTCACAGCTGCATCAAGTTTTTTTTATTTACTGAACACCTACAAAACCAACCTTTGTGAACCTCACTGTTCCTAGAGGCCTAGCACACGCGACAAACAATAATTTGTTTTTTTAAGCTTAAGTCTGCCAACATCATCATCGCCTCTAATCAGGATGATCTATTGTTGAATCTGACTATCGGAATATGAATGAGGTTGTATTAAATTGGATGTACCTGTCGAGAATACAACATTTTATGGTTACTTTCATTTTAAATTGCGGTTGCTAAATTATATAATATTGTTTGGGCGGACTAAAAGTACAGAATACGTCTTTAAATATACGTCGTCTGTGTTGAGCCTGACAGATCCATTTTTTGGGTACAGTGGCGAAATAAGATGCGAATGTGTCGACTCCTGGGATTCCGTGCTGTGTCCAACAAGGTTGGTCTAAAGTTTGTTTTCCAATTATAGGGACGACGCAGAGAATGCGAGTATTCAGAGGGCCTGACCCTCATTGAAAGAGATCCTGAGTAAAATAAGTGAGCTCAGGAAGCGTTGCCAAAATTGCAACGCTGAGTGAGTACCTTTTGGACGTCTGTGTCCTAGGATATGGCGTAAAAATAACACAAAACACGAACTATGGGTTGCATCGTTAATTGTTAACGTGTAATTAATTAATTAACGAAGATAATAACATGTATTAACGTGTAATTCATCTGTAATGTTTCTGTTCGAGCGCCATTATAGCCCAACCTTGGCGAAATTAAAGAGTGAAGACTCGGTCCACGTAAAATTTTTGAAAGAAGGGGTACACGGGGAACAGAAAGGCTGTGATAAAAATACAATGATATAAAAAAAGGCACAATAGTATAAAACACTTCCTTGCAACGGATCAACATAAAGTAGACACTTACCTCAAACGGGCCTGTATTCGTATACTTACTATATTATACTATACCCAATGCTTTATAGGCAGTCAAAATACGTGAGGTTTACATGATTGAGGATTGATGTTTACGATGCACACGTCCTTTCACTTCGATAATTTTTATGGGAATGGCGACAGAACGAACCATAGTAAGAATAGTGAAGAAAAGGAATTAGAGAACGATTCAAAATTTCAAAAGTAATTGTCAGGAGCCAGAAAAGAGAGTGATGATAAAAAGGTCAGATGACGATGAAAGGGGTCGCATCGTCACAGTACCTTAAAAGAGCCTGTTTTATTATATAATTAATTAATCGTTGTTACTAAACTCCGCTATGACACAAAACAAATTACCTTAACACCTTAATAACAATGTCTGTTCTGCACTATCTTTGATTTAATTGTCGAGAGTAATAATTGCAACTAAAAACTTTACAACGTAACTTGGGCGTTTCGTTGTTTCCAGAAAAAACAGTCCATCCTCGTATTCAAGTTTAATCAGTCAGATTAGCGATGCAATCTATATATGGTTGATTTAAATTTATCCATCCAGATTCCAGCGGTAGACAGTAACATTAAAGACAATGTCCAAGACCTGTGTTACACAAAGTTTTTTTATTGATATTCTTTATCAAACATTCTAGCGTCCAGCTAAACTGAATCTAAGTTATGGATAAGTATAAATCCTTTCTAACTTGTTGCTGTCTTCTACAACGGTTGTTGTTGATTCTGCATTCACCTGGTTTGCCTATTAATAATGTCTACGCGATGTTCTTAATTTCAGTGTTGTCAGCTTCGTTACTAGGGCCATTCAGCATGATTGTGCAAACTAATCCTTTATACATATGGCCGTTACTTGGGCATGACAAAATGGTGTCTGTAAAACATTGTTTCTTCTCTTTCCGATGTCTTCACTATTTGTATGAAATGCACTGATAAATAAATTATATAAGAGGGAAACGCACAGCGCCTTGAGTGACCAAAGATATTCCATTGATTTTGCGAAACGCATTTAAATAAATTTATTTAATTAAATGATATGCATTAATGCAAATAGTTGCAAGTTTCTTTATTTATTATTAACTCGCATTTTTTAAAGAAAATGCAATAAATATTATGAAATGGAAATTTCTGGACCCCGCTTCTAGAAATACACACTCGTCCCGTGGCTTATTGTCTAATGTTTGCAATAGATCACATTGTAGACAACAAGTAGGTGAACCCCTACAAAGTTGTGTGTTGTATTTATGTAAGTATTACAGCTAATTGGGAAGACATTTGTGTTTTTGTGCTTTTTAAGGGTAGCTCTACGTAACTCTAACATTATTAATAAACTCAAAAGCTTTTGTCTTCGTCTTCTAGTTCATTTCAGATTTTTTTATATTAGAAATAGTCTACAACTGCCTTCATGTAGCTATTTTCATAGATTTTTCTGTTTAAAAGAATGCGACAGCTGTTTTTGTAAGTGTATCCGGGATGCTAGTAAATTAGGTGTGGATACTTTTAGTCTAATATCTTGAGAAATTTAAAGAAAAAACAAGTTAATAATATAACACACCCTATTAACAACAATATTATTTAGTGATTAAAATCTGTTAAATGTTAACTTTTGAAACATTTTATCTATAAATGACCTCTTTATTACTAAAATGAAAAAGAATTCGTAAGTCACGGCATGTTTTAATTTCTTTCTAAATACATAGAATAATTAGGTTTGAACGAATTATAAATCTTTACTTTTTGGGAAGGAAAGTGCAAAGTTAAAATCTGAAATTGATGCGTCTGATCCAAACTGACGATTATAAAATTGTTAGTATTATAAAATATTTGCAAATGTTATGTAGCCGTAAATTGTAATGTTCTTTGGTTAAATAAAATAAGGTATTTAAATTAATAATGACTTTAGCAACTATGGTTCAGAATAGGGTGGTTAGTATTAATATTATACATAACTGATTGATGACTTTATCATCACAGTCAGCTGTGAATGTGGGACAGGAAACGTTGTTCGTTCATAGTTTTGAAACCTAAGAACTCGATACTATCCGCACCTAATTTCGTAGCACCTTATATATGTTGCCTGTCAAAGACATGTCTGGGGGCCGATTCTCGTGCGATAGAGAAAATGTCTTAACAGATGAATGTCGGAAATACACAGAAGACGATCGCAAACAGTTAGTAGTATTCTCAGAATCTCATCATAGATCTGTCTTAGCGCTCGACATGGAACGAGTGGTCGGAGGCACCAGAGTTTGAGATATCGCCCGTGTTTAAATATTTACATACAAGTGTCTAAATATTTTCGACAAATTAAAATTATATTGTCACTGAACTAACGCAACGTAGTTTTTTACTAAATTGAGTTACATCAATCTCAGAACATACTTTGACAGCTCTTGATTTAATTGTAAAGAAATCTTTATCGACTTTTTTGTAAATACAACATTACAAATAAAATGCATTAACAGATACTAAAATATTTTATATTATATACCACAAATATTTTTTGTGGAATTGATTGTCTGTGGATATTTTAGATACTATATTACGAAATCGGTCCCTATTTGATGTAGGTTCCACTATTGAATTTACATCACATTCCAAAAAAATTATTGCAATTAAAACAAAAAAGTCGCCTGTTTAGATTTCATTTAAAGAAGGTGATGGACTTTACTAACTTAAATTGAAACTGCATGCAGGTTAAATGTATTTGTTGAAATTCTGTTTCTTGAAAATAATATAGCAATGTTTATTTAGTATATGAAAATTTTACGATTACAGCTAATATAAACATTAATTATGTCGATGCGAGTTCGAAGTGTGCAAAAATCAATGTGTTTTAAGATTATTTTCAGCTTGACACTGTTTTTATTCAGCTAAATTTCTTCCTTTACCTTTTACTGCGCTTATTGTTATGGCAATGGGCTCGCAAAGACGTACAGAATTTTGACTTCATCTGTTCTGTTTGGGTGTTGAATGTTATACCTATTCTAATATTTAGTACTAACAAAGTGGCAATAATAGGAGTCACTGCAATACTGGTCGACTTGAGGAACTACTGGAGGAGGTCGAGAACTATGCTGCTAATTTGGAGGCTTTGGTGGATGAGCGCACTAGTGCCTATCTAGAGGAAAAACAAAGATGTGAGGAGCTTCTTTATCAACTGCTCCCAAAGTAAGACACTCATATAAAATAGTTTGCACATTATTACAGAGGCCGGGAAGTAAGGGATTGCTGAACGAGTATGAGTTCGACACTCACTCCTCGCTCGCTCGTCCTTGTATTAATACGAGTCAAGCAATCCCCGTTCCCGCCGAGGCATTTATAGTATTTTTCTCAAACAATGTGAGGAAATAATAAAGGACTAAAGACAGGAAGATATACATATATGATAGAAAAAGTAACTAAGTATTAATTAATATCAAAAGTAATATTTGACGTGACAGGAGAATTGCTAAAAGAAAACGTTATTGTTTTTCTAGGTACATTAATAGTAGTCTGCTGAACTTCTGATGATGTGTTTGAATGTGAATCTATTTCTGTATTTTCGTTATCACTCTTCTCACTAGCATTCATTTTCGTGAGTAAAATACAAAAAAGACGCAAAAACAAAAGAATACCAAAACACCGCCATTTTTTTTTAAGTACCGGGTACAGGTAGGTATTTTTAATTCTCGCAACTATGAACTCTGGGCATTTGGCTATATGAGTTTTTCTTTTGCCTGCTTACATAATTCATCAATAGGTGGATTTAAAAGTTGTAGAAATGGACAGTAATGGATTTTCATACATAATTTGCAGGCCTTGGCCGGGCAGAAGTCGCACGGTCCATAAGTGACAAACTTACCGTGTTCGTTTTTTGAAAGTAATGCAAATATTTCCGAGCATGTTTGAGAAAATTTGTTTATTTATCAAACATTACAGATTTAAGAATTCTAATATGTATAAGGGTTCTAAGCGTTTACAAAATAATTAGGTAGCAATCAGGTATTTAATTGTACTTTTGTCTCTCATGGTAAGTCTGAAAAACGACGTTCTAGATCCAGGAAAGCAAGAAATGAAAATCAATAAGAAGAAAAGGTGAAAATGGGAATGAATAAAGTGGACAAACTACGCCGTTTAGCTAAAGTAGGGTCACTTTGCAAACCCATCCCACTAATAATATTATTTATGCCTACTTATCTATATAATGTATATAAAAGAAAATGTCTTGAGTGGCTCTTCCACGCACAGCCGTACCTACGTTTCTTCACGTTATCAACGCCTTAAGTAAGAAATGATCGTAAAACTGTACGAGATGTAAAAATTCGTATTAACATTTTCTGCAACAAATATTTTTTCCCTAATTTTCAGTACAGAATTTTCTCGGAAGACTATTTTATTGACAATATGATATATTCTTGAAAGCAAATTAGGAAACATGTATCTTTATGTAAAATACGGAGCTTTATTTCAAAACTACCTTTCAAACAGCTAAAACAGATATTAAAGTTTTAAAATGAAAATTCTATTTCTAAGCTTTGCAGACCTGAAATTTGGTTATTCAAACAAAATAATGAAATACGTATTTTTGTTTTATAAAACAGAACAGAAAGAGAACGGGGTGTGAAATAGTATTTTTTGAGCCTTGGTGGTCATTAAATATTTTTCACATCCAATACGGATGGTGTTATTATATATATTTTTTGAAAACTACCCCCAAAAAAATGTAGCTGATGTTAAATTATCGTGGAAAACGTATTTATTTTCCGTGTTATTGTAAGGTATTTACTAAGCAAATTATAACATTCATATAATCAATCATCTTTGTGAGCTCTTGTTTTATTTCCTTTACGAATATGCCTTGTAATGAACAGGTCTGTGGCGTCGCATCTCGTGTTGGGGTTACCCGTGCTGGCCGAGTACTACGACTCGGTAACCATCTACTTCAGCGATATTATTGGGTTTACCCAGCTCTGCGCTACATCGACTCCACTAGAAGTCGTCGATATGTTGAATGATCTCTATACCTGTTTTGACTCCATCATTGAAAATTTTGACGTTTACAAGGTAATGAGTTTTTGCTATTGTTAATAATCAGATGGACACTTTCGTCTTTGTTCAAGCATCTGTATGTTGCTTTTCAATAATATTTTCTTTTTTTTTATCATTCGTCTTTGGAATGACCGTTATTTTGTAATACATTTTTAAATAATATCAAGTGACGGGTTGAATAAATCGTGTGTCTGATGGTAAGCTACTGCCAATGCACCCATCACCCTGAGACATAAGTTGACAAGTCCCACGTGCCTGTAATTTCACCAGCACCGTTATCCTTTAAAATCGGAACACAGTAATGCTGACATTACTGCTTGGCAGCAGAAATAGGTAAGGTGGCAGTACTTCCCTGGATAAACTCTTTCACAAGTCTACAATTTTTTTAACAAGAATTTGGAGCGGTTGGTATTGTAAGAATGTTTTCACATGTACAGGTGGAAACTATTGGCGATGCATATATGGTAGTATCAGGGCTGCCCCAACGGAATGGCGATCGTCATGCAGTAGAGATCGCAAGCATGTCGCTGGCCCTTCTCGCCGCAGTACGTGTGAAGACTGTACTCCATCGTCCCGAGGAACCACTGTTGCTCCGTATTGGTATGCATACTGGTAAGTATGTCCTATCAAACGTTCTTCTTCCAACAGAAAGTGAGAGTGAGTCGTCGGATGTGATAAATCGTAATACATTGATATTAGGATGTAAATCGGAACGTAATTGTTTTATGAATTTCTTTCATTACGTACTAATCCAAACTAATATTATAAATGCGAAAGTCTGTCAGTCACGTTTTCATGCCTAAATCGCAGAACCACATTTAATGAATTTTGGTATAAGATAGATGGGACCTAGCTAGAGGACATAGGCTACCTTTGTCACAAAAATAAATCTTAAAGGTATTGATATGAGATGATAACTAATCATTTCTCAAGCAAGGGATCCGAAAATTCATATTTATGCCTTTTGTAAGAAATAAACAATCTTTCAGAGATTGTGATCAAAATTACCCCTCAAGGTAAAATAGGCGACGAGTGGGCTACTCAAAGTATTTATCAAACCAGCTAGTTATACATAAATACCCGAGCAATATATCAGTCTTGAGCGTAGGGTTTAATTTTCTTAGCCACGGGAAGCGTAATTTGTGAAGAGATTTCAAGTTAATTGAAAATAAAAATAACAGCATATAAGTCTACATAATCTGATATTTTTATATATTTCAATTCAATTCGACATCTCTGATTAGAATTAGATTATAGATTAGAGTTTACTATGATTGAACTCGTATGGAGCTTTATTTCCCTATTTGCGATCACATTACGACTGATTTCAATTTTGATGGTAGGAACACCGGGGGAAGAGTGACTTGCAGCCTTATATTATTATTTTTAAATAGGAATGGCGGTATTTTCCGGCAATGGCACAGTCGTCCGGGGTTAGGCACTCAAGTCCAAGAGCCGGCGAACAATACGGGTCGTATCGTGCAGGACCGCCTTCTGCATTTGTGCTGGAAGCGACACGCCACAGAAATTCAACCAATTATGAATACTACTTTTAGTTTGTCAGTCGATGAATCCGACAAAGAAAATAAACGATTTTAAAGGCATATCGCTACTATGCTCCAAATAAAAGAAAGTCTAGTTAGTACTTAACATTTTGTCTGTTCTCCTTAAGCGCGTGTGCGCGCAGCAACCGATTCCTATTCATTCCGAATCCCAGGCTATACAAATCTAGAAAACTCGGGTCCTCTTCGGTTGTCGCTTGTGCTCTACATCCGAAAAAGTACGAATATCGCTTGTACACCAAGATATAAAATGATCCCTGTGACATTTCGGATCGTCATTTCTCGGATTCGGTACAGGGGGTCTACTCTCGATCTCCGTCCGACATCCATTCGAAACAATTACTGCAAAATAAGCAATACTTGACCAAATGAAAAGACGCGTGATGCGAATGAAGCTTCATTCTTGATACATGTCTTTTAATTTTGTAGAATATTACTTATTTGACGCAAACGCTTTAAAGCTCCAAAACATTTAACTCAGCATAAACTACGCTCTTCTTACCCACCTGACTGTGTACATCTACCAGCGTACTCCCTCCAGTTTTCTTTTGTTTTACTGACGTATTATCGTTTTATGGAAAACAATTTTATATGTAAGAAACCATACCGTGGTAAGAAACCTGATACTAGTGATAATCATTTCGTGAATAACCACGAAAGTCTTAAAATCTATATAATTTTCTGTGTTTTTAATATTCATGAAAAATAAATAATTTGGAAAAAAAAAAACAATTTGATACATAATTTTACAGTTTTGAAATTACGTTATAGCAAGTACTTGCTTGTTTTTAGTCATATGATACGTAATTTATCCGGGAGTGCCTGCTCAGCGGTTTTCTATTATCCAATTTCGGAAAGTTTATGCATATTCTTTACAACTTACTTCCATTAGCACCGTTCCTCATTCTGTTTACTAGAAAATCCAGAACTTTCCATCTTTACGTCATTGATGAACCATCCATTAGTAGGAAGCGCTTTGCTTCATCCTCTCTGGTGCGTGTGGCAAAGGAATGAAATACACTGTCGGCATCTATTTTTCCTAAAAGCTACAATTTAGAGCTACGCAAGGCTAGAAGTGAGTAGGCATTTGCGAGACAAGCGCGAAACATCGTCGGTCTCATTGTGCCTTAAAATCAGATGTGTGGGGAAGCGTTCGTCTATAAAAAAACAAATGAATGATTGGGACGGTTCATCACAATAAAAAAGAAACATCCCAAAATGAAGAACCCGTTCGAACCAATAAGAATCAATTACAAATCGATAACAAAAATAGAATGAATGGATTCTATTCTGTTTACGGTATATAACCTTTTTTGACGTCCTCGGTGGCCCAACGACACTTTAGGTGCTGACTGAGGAGATGGCGGTAGGACTAATTTAGGACATTTACTTCTCTAAATTGATTCTGATTTGGGTTTTTAGGAAGTGTGAAGTGAATTTCTTTGCCGGTGGCGGAAATCCGTATTTTATCATTATAAAATAGTGTAGATGTTTGGCACATTATTATATTATTATTATAAACTGAAGCGTAAAATTTAGACTTGTAACAAAATCACATAACAGGTAAACAAGTCATATTAGTTGCGTCACGCACCGCTAGATGGCATTCGTGTCGAAATCGCAAATTGTGCATCGCGGTGTTAAGATTTTCCCTCGCAGAACGACAACTGGTGGCGATGCGAACATGAAGGAATCCAACTTACTACGCATCTAGCTCTGCTTCCTTGTTTGGAACTCCGCTTTAGATCGTTACTGTTGAGCCTACTGCACTTTACGCTTCTAGCGCTGCTTCCTTATTGGAATTGCGCTTTAGACCGTTGCACTAGTTGTTGCACCCTGAGTCGTTTCCTAATTGGAACGTGTGTACGGGTCCTCGACTACGTGCCGATTAGGGGGAGTCCTTTTCCACTGTGTGTATATGTAGTGAAATAAAACCACCATATTGGAGAAAACCTGGTTTTCCTCTACCACCCCAATAAGAACTTACTACAGATTTGAATTTTATTTAATCAAAATTTAAAACATTTTCATTATTCGCTTATATTCGTGTTAAAATTTGTATTTTTTTTAACTTCGATCATAAACCACGGAGGAATCAGCAATGTGGTTTGGTATAACTGCTGATAAGCAATAACATGTCAACCGACATGTTCACAATTTAAAAAAAATGACAACTACACATTTTGTCGTTGTTTTCGATAGTTTGTTTTAAAATTTACTTATAAAATGAAAACTCTTGCTTTTTTTTGGAATTGTAGTAATAAATCACAACAATTTTTAGTTCCTGATGTGACAACATTAAAAGTTTTCATTTTACAAGTAAATTAGAGTAGTAGCAGTAGAGCTCCTTCTGAAAGAGTATGTCCACGGATGTACTGCCACCTTACCTATTTCTGCTGCCAAGCAGTAACGTGAGCATTACTGTGTTCCGGTTTTGAAGGGTAAAGGGTGCCGGTGAAATTACAGGCACGTGGGAGTTTTCAACTCATGTCTCAGGGTAAGATGGGCGCAGTGGCAGTGACCATCTGAACTTTATGATTTAAATCTATGAGTGGCACTGCAACTGTTGTGGACAGGCGTGTCGCTTACCATTAGGCGCACGACTTATTCGTCCCATCACTTAGAATCATAAAAAAAATTTAGAATAAACAAAAATCAAACGTTCAAAAAATCAAAAGTTTCCATTTTCGCAAAACCATGATCATATTGGATGGTACGTTATTGCTTGCAGCCTTCCAAATCCATAAGACTGACCCATTTGCGCCAAATTCGTAAAACAAATAAATAAAATGATATTGTAAAACACACACATAAATCGCCTTACTTCTTAACCCCCGTTGCAAAAAGAGGGAAGTTATTATTAGTTGAAGCCATTTTCTTCATGTATGTTTGCGTCCGTCTGTGGCACCGAAGCTCCCAAACTACTGAAATCATCTAGAGCTGGTTTGGTAATTTAATTGGGATGGTTTTAATGGTTTTAATCTATGTTTAAATCCATATGTATAAAAAAACCATCAATTCGTTTCCCAATTACGTATAAGTCTTTATCAAACAGAATACGTGGCAGCAGCAACGGCCTCGTGAAGACTATCGCGGCTAGGAGTGAGTGCCCAATAATGCGGCATTTAATAATAAGCACAAAATCGGTAGTAGAATTTAGTACCAACCAAATTATAACTTTATTGTTAACAAGCTACTACTAGCTGACAACTCGACAAATGCGACCAAATTAACAAACCCCCGACAGTGTACTCTATATAATCCATAAAGTTACTGTTTGGTTTGTACACATGTATCGAGGTTTTTTCAATCAATTCGACAGTATTTTTTGTATTTATGCTACGAGAAACTCGGCATTTGTGTACCGATTTTGATGATCTTTTTGTTAGAAAAAGTCCCATTTAAATTTGAAGAAAATATTCCACCTCTAATGGTGCGAGAGATGCAGACAAGAAATTCCACTCCATGGCCGTTCGCCATGTAAATGTAATTTTTGATATCTGGATATAACAAAATATGAGATAATTGAATGGACTCGCAACTTATGAAACTGTTCATAATGAAGTTCGTACAAAACAGAAAAAATGCTTCATTGTCTTTTAACATTAATAGACGACCACATTACTAGTGCACTTTTTATTTTAGTCTTCAAAATTGTGATTTTTAAACTTTTTATGGTACCTTTGTGATGTGACATTTTGTCAGTCGCCTACATAACTTAGAAGGACTGGATCGTTGTGTCTTCACATATTTTGTTGATCAGGTCCTTGCGTCGCCGGCGTGGTTGGCCTCAAGATGCCGCGCTACTGTCTCTTTGGAGATACTGTGAACACCGCTTCTCGCATGGAGGCCCATAGCGATGCCTTAAGGATCCACGTCAGCTCTACAACAAAAGAACTGCTTGACGTTTACGACATGTTTATACTCGAGTTGCGTGGTGAGATTGAAGTAAAGGTACGCAGTATTCCATTTCAATTACTACCTCGATAACTTATGATTAATTTTATTTTTATTTTTAAAGTACTCTCCCTGAACTAAATATATTATAACACATTAATGATACTTTTCAATTAGGTACAAAGATACAATATTAAATATTTTTTTATGTATTTGAAATTTTGTAACAGCTAAAAGGTAGAGAGTTTTAAAATATAAATTAATTCATATTTTTGTTGTAGGGAAAAGGTCCAATGACTACCTATTGGCTGTTAGGTGAGAAGCCCGTAGCTAAGAACAATCGGCATAGTGGTGATAAAGATGGTCCACGTCCATCTACTAGTTTTGCCGGTGATAATAATGCAAATCCCAGTATCACTTTTCAAGGTCCTGATAGTCCTGCTGGTCACTCTTTAGCACAAAATGGACATACTAATGAAATTAACTATCAAATAGACGGTGATGATGACGACTTACAGTCACAAGGGGCTTGCGCTTTACCTTCGTATTCTACGCAGAGGGCAAACACTTCGGACGATATAGTTTATCCGCAAGAATATGAAATGAGCTTCCAAAATAACCCTGTGTATGTGACCACCCCTAAACTGTCAGTTGAACTGCAGAACGAACGCACTCGTATCCAACGGGAAATGAATACATGCATGTCTATCGACTTTGTGAATAGCTCGAATCATGTTGCTGATGATAAAAGCAAAGAGGAGGTTAAACAAAACTTACCTCCGGAGGATGCGAGGCTTGAGACGAGCTATGAGATGGACTATGATAGAGAATGCCCAAATAACGAGAATGAGAATTTGGTCAATCCGTCTTACGGTACCGCGTCGGTGATTAGCAAAGGAAAAGTGCGCGCAACGGTGCTGATGTTCAACCGTCGTTGGCAGAATGATGATAACTCCAAGAAGCCGAATTAAAAGTGGAAGACTGATAGTGGAAGGTATAAGTTGAGAAGCATTTTATGCTTTATAGACGTGTTTTACTCCTTACACTAAATTGTAATGATAAATTGAAGTGATCGTACACTGGGGATATAAAATTTTAATTCTTCTCTTTTAATGTTATGAGTACTATAAGTATAAGTAATGTAATATCTTGCGCAGAGCGTCTAAGTGGTTCTATTTCCAGGTCGTTATGTTTTACTATTGTTATCGACACTTAAATAGTGAGTAACGAGACCAATAAGAGGGTATAAATTTTAAAAGTAAAAACATGATATTGTGCATTGCATTGTTAAAAATGTACTATCGTCATGGCGGTGCTTTTATTTCAAATAAAGGTACAAATTGGTCTGATTAGATTAAATGGAAATTTTGAGTTGTATTGGTGCAGTTTAAAATAAGGCAACGACCTTAAAGTCGTGTTTACAGCCCGCGCTGGGACACCTCACAGAAAGGTATGATTTGCGAAATCACTGCTATGTCAATGTCGTTCCTCCCGTCATTTAGTGTCATAAAAAATGTCCCGCAATAGAATTGCGGTTTGTACGTCGACTTTGAAATCGATCAAAAGAAATGATTTCCATTGATACGTTACTTAAAAATAAAGTACTTATTATAAATAAACATAAGAGCACAAGAAATTAGACGAGAAGAAAAATTATAAGTAGTTAATGTTATGTCGCCCTTTTATACCAAACTTTTATACTTTCTGAATCTTACTAATCTTTAGGAAACTCAGATTAATGATGAATCTAAAGAAAGAAGCTTTAAATCGACCTTAAGGAATCGAAACAAATATACTAGAGAAAGGCTACCACATTCTCTTTGGAGTCAAGTAAGATCATATTACGCTCATAGCCTCTCTCAATGTCTTCTAAGGCCTTAAAACAAAGGTTCATTGAAAATGATATTACGTTTTCGTATCTATCGCATATGTTTGTTTTTTCAAACACACCTATCGAGCTTTTTACAGGTTCTACTGTCACGGCTCAGTTATCATATGATATAATACTTTTTAATTAAACTTATGTTCGTAGTAACTTCAAAAGTAAAATTATTAGTAATGTAATTATTTTTGATTATATTAAATACTATGAAATGTATACTCGAATGTTTACAAATGTTTTATTGATGTTAGATAATACTGCTCATAGATTAAAAATATGTGTTTGTATGGTGAAGTTTGGAAATACGGATACTTTTAACGGAAAATTTAGAAAATTGTATGAATTAACGGGTTTATCGTTCTTCACTGGATAAATTTATTTAGATGTCACATGTTAGACTAGAACACTAAGCAACATTTACATGTTTTTGATCCGTTAATAGTGAAGTAACTTACAGGTTAATGTTTACGTACGTAGAATATGATAATTATGATCGCGCCTGATACATTTATTCCATTATAATTAAAATGTCAATCTCAGTATATGACCAATCAGGTGATACCGATTCGTTACCTGGTTGGTTAGTAGAAATAGTATTTTAAAATAGGAAATGAAGTATTCTAAAATGTTTACAATAAAGATGTTGTCGTTCATTATATTACTTGCTTGTAATTCAAGCATCCTACATAACTAATAAATGTAATACTTAGTCCGGTTGTTTAATTTACCAAAGCCATTTTTTCGTTAAAAAAAATAAACAGTTGCCCACGGCAAATAAAATGATAAAAACACTTTTCGAATACTTAGCCTTAGGGTGGCTTTCTTCGTCTTATCTATTTGTGTTTTAATGAGCAGTTGTTCAATAAAATTTCACCTGTTCTATGCTTATGAGTCTAAATAAAAAATCGTCCTAAACAAATGTCTAAAATTGTACATTACCTTAAGGCGAGCTATTTCAACACTAGCCTAGATTTTAAAAGGTGAGGAGTGGGGGGTCGCGTCCCGTAATCCGCGCGCTGTAAATTAATATGAATAAAATAGTAACATTTAAATCGCTAGGCAATTTGCAAATTTTGGGATAGTAGTAGTAAGACACTTTGATTTAAACTTTTACTATTTTCCCAAATTATTTGATTTTTAATTCGGGACTTAATCACGTATAAAACATTATTTACCTCGACGTTTCGGACATATTGCAATGTCCTTGGTCTCGAAGGGACCGAAAGGCGGGTGTCAGCATCTTCTAGCCGTGCGAGTTGTTCTTTTTTCAGAAACATATCCTCTTGTGTTGCTGCTTTTGATTCTCGAACTATCGTTCACATTGACGGTAGCCGATTGCTCATAATAGTTGAAATCTCATCATTTAAGTCACGTCTGCACGTTTTTGATCACGATTGCACGCATTAACTGCAGATATGCTCATCTGTTATCAGCGTATATAAATTAATAAACAATTGATACGCCATAGGGATTGACTCTGTTCTGTCTTTTTTTTTTCTAGCAACACAAGAAAAGTCATTTTCTGGAAAAAATGTTATAAAATCTTTTACTGAGAATGACAAAATTTTATATGCGTAAGATGGGCTGTCAAATGGCGGACGATCAAAATTAATAGCAATTTTACTCTCTGCATTCATGTGCCGTTCCATTATTGATGTCACGAGACGAACAAGTCGTGCAGGTGGTGGTAAACGACGGGCCTATCGGTAACTGTTGCAGAACCACGCAGAACTTTAAATTACAAAGATCTAAGGGGCACTTCATTTGGGTTCCATAGTAACTTTGAACCGACCCCGGGTTCAAATGTTTTATACCCCACTGCCACTGCATCCGACAACTTGAGACAGAAAGTAGAATAGTGTGTGAAACGTGCTTGTAGTTTCACTAGCAAACTAAAACTTTAGAGCTGGAACGAATAATGTTCATATTATAATATTACAAATACTTTATTGGACGAAATCTGTCACAAGGAACTTTGTTGCCACTAAAAAAAAATCTCCAAGTTTCCGAGTCAAATTATTAGGAATTTCACACAACTACGAATACAAATGATGAATGAAAAAAGAAATTATGTTAGTTTCAGAAGTTTGTACGACTAAAATAAGGATTCCGTGTTCCATGTTCGGTTCGCTGATGTGGAATGTCCAATTTGATCGTCTTGTGCGTCAATCTAAGTTCACCAATGAATTAATTAATTTGTTGAGTGCATCAATGTAGTACGTATGTCTTAATGTATGAATGTGTAGTTTTTAAACATTTCTTCAGGCTTCAGAAAAGGTCTTTTATAGTTTAGATCTTTCATTTATCCAGATTGTGTAATGTAAGTTTCGTCAAAGATTTCGTCCTGGCAAGTACTGCCATCTTACCCATTGCTGCAGCCAAGCATTTTTTTTTAAGATATATACGGTACAGTGGCAGTACACCCTCAGACCAATGCGTTTTAAAGTTCTGAGCGGCCCTGCAGCTATGCTTACCACCAGGCGCACAATTTGTTATTTCCATCACTTGGTAACATAAAAAAAGAACAAATAGAAATTTATTTTATAACAGTATTCAACGCGCCTTCTTCAGCTTAGTCTCTAGTAAAAGACACGGCCTTTCCCCGAAATACTAAAGAATAGTGTATATTTTTAACAGCAATGGCTGTTTTGAAAATATTACATATAGGTGACACTATTATTGTCATAATGCACTTTTATATTACCGTTTCTAACACTACATGTTAATATTCACACAAATTCTGCTGACAATGAACTTTTTCTGTTCCCGATACAAACGTAACAATTGATCGAGCAATTATACAATATATATCAATATACCAAAGGGTACATAAGCCGTGACAATTTGTTACACAAGTTCTCAACACCCAAGCAGCACACCCATATCAAAATATGTGCTAAAAGATATCTAATAGAATTTAATTCGATTGAATATTTTAAGAGGTCAAATTCCCTCAAGATATCTCAAAGAAGGTTTCTAGATGATTTAAAGTAAAAGTGGGCACAACTTTGTTAGTAGATCACAAGAGTGCTTTGAGAAACTATCTGTAGGTAGTGTTAAGAGTGATTCTTATCTTTTTTCTCAAGTAACCCTTCTAGAATGCTACAAGACCATTTGTAGAATGTAGACAGTTTTTATTTAGTCTTGTAGACAGTTTTTACATAATTTATAGTCTATGATAGTTTTCTTAGTAATGCTATTTTAAAAAAAAAATACTAAAGCGTTACAAACATAAGACGCAATTATCTTAATACTAATAGATTTAAAGTTTAATGGCTTACAAAATATAAACTATCAAAATTGCAACATGGCGAAATTAGATATAATATTTCTGACTTTTTCGAGCAATGTTTAATTGGTTAGAAAGCGCAAATTGATGTGGGACTTTAAATACATTGTGAAAAGTGATGTAAAACCTGCCATAAAAGTAATGCGCTCGCTAAATTTTAAATATTTATGTATTAAATATAAACTTAATAAAAATACAGTTATCGATTTTCGGTTTTAGATATTTATAGAAATCTTAAATATACAAAATAACTCACAAAACAAACCATTTCCTAGAAGTTCTAGGCTTTTTCAAGCTAATTTCAACTTAGATTTACTTTTTAAAAAGAAAATAAATTTTTCTCCGCTATTTCATAGTCATTCTTTAAAAATAAAAATGGCGATAAGAATTTAAAGCTCTTTTCAAAACACAGTTGGGAGCATTTTGTCTATAGCTTAATCTATAGAAAAACTTTACAATACAAAACGGTTATTTTTACTTGCTTTAGTTTACTTGACCTTGTAGAAGAACTTACACTCCTATGAAGTTTTTATGATTGTCTACAAAACGCGATGTTTCTAAGCGATCTTTTCTTTTGACAGTGTTACAAAACCTTTATAAGCCTTTATAAATATTGAATGTATTATGCAATAAGAAACTTACTTTTTTGTTTTTTTGACCTAGTGTTTTGAAACACTAGGTCAAAAAAACAAATGAAAAAATCCAATTTGTCGCAAAAAAATATTATTCTGTATAATTATCTGGAATGTGTTATATATGACTAGAAAGGAGGATAAATTCCCTATCATATAAATATAAGG